ATTGTCTTAAAAAAACACAACTTAAAAAGTCTGTTGACCTCTGTGGATTTTGCTCACAAAGAGCTTTCATTGCATTTGTGACAAACCTGCGGAGAGTTAATAGTGAAGTACCTTTCAAACATCGATGCAAACAGATCCTTGTTTATTGCTTAGTAAACTAAATACAAAAGAAATACTGATTGATTCTAGTGTTTGATTTCTATTTTAGCCCTAAAAAGAACTTTGCAATACAAGCAACACCAGAAGGATGTTCTGTGCCGCCTGAAAAAAGATCTTTTCCTACAAAGGCATCCTTCAGTGCTGAAATGTCTGCTAGACCATCGTGTTCTTCAGGAAATCTGATTGCCCCAAGTACTTTGATCAAAGAAGGTAAACATGTATGCAACTTGCAACATTTTTAGCTGCATCTGAACATTCTGCCTTAGATAAGGAGTTTTATACTATGTGACTGAACGGTTTCAGTAAGTTTGATGTAGAGAAAAACAAACACGTATTTGTTACATTTTGGTTTTGCTTAAATTTCTTTCCTTTTTATACCAGTTGGCATGAAATAGCTGACTGAAATTTGCATTAAGATCATTTTGATTCACACCCTGTAATGCCTATGTACCAGATGCAAAGATGGCAACAAGGAAGTGGCTACTGGCCATCGTAAAAACTTCCATTTATTATATGATGAACTGAAATACTCAGATTGTTAATCTGCTTTTCTCTTTGGTTAGTGAAGATCAGGAAATGATTTGCCTATTTCTTGAATTTGTCTGTTAGTCAGCTAATACATTTTTTGTGTTCTTGTGGTTTTCGCTTTAAAGCTGGCCTTTAGGGGGAGTTTATTTTAAAGGGTACATACTTAGCCATATTGAAAGAAGCAACTGAAACAGTACACTCATTTCCTCTTTTATGTAATTCTCACAAAGGTGTATCTTGAAATTAATTGAGTAAAGCTTAAGAAATTAATATATTCATGTATTTGAAGATTGCTATTATATGAAGCAAAATTGTGGGGCCATGTTTCTGATGTGAAATAATAAATGGGAAAACATTTGGGTATCATCAACTAATCCTTAGAGGAGGAGTCATGAAAAATCTGAGATGTTACTGTCAGTTACAGTATTCAGTCTTAAATTGGATCAGCACTATGAACTCTATCAAAAAGAAAAATACAGTAGCCTTAAAGCATTAGTATTGCTACTTATTCAGCCTCTTGACTATTCATTACGGTAACAACACTCAGTGTGCCTCTGTTAATCTCTACTCGTGGGAATTCAACTTAAGGTATTGGGGATTTTTCTAAAACAAAAGTTGAGAGCAATAGCACTGAACAATCTGGAACATCTGACAGTAAAGCTGAAATTTTATTCACTCCTCTAATTTAATTTGGGGAGCAATTCTACTTCATACAGCTTTTACTATTGTTTTGACATATTTGAGTTATACCAGTTTTTTACTGGTCTGCTGCCTGTTTTCTTACTCTGTAACAGCTGTGGCTAACAGAATGTGGGTAAAGGATAGGCACAGATACATAAGAAATGTAGTTCTCTTATTTGACTCATAATAACTGTTTGTTTTAGATAGTAAGATAACCCATCCTGAAGTATTACCCCTGAAGTATGAAGCTATTGGAAAAAATGGTTCCTACAACTCTGTACCTAAACGAAACACACAAGGTAACTTAATTTTGTTCATATAGAAATAGTGAGCATCTCTGTAGAGCAGCTTCGTTGCCTTGACTAAGCAGTATTGTGCTGAGAAGCCTGCTACGTACAGTGCCACTGCACAGTAGACAGTGGTGTTTAGATAGTCACTGTTTAACATTGTGACTTTGCAGTACAACACTTCAGATTATATTATCTTGTATCCCAACAACATTCTTACATTGTTACTTTAAGAAAAAAGTTTGCCTGGATTTGGTTTTTGCTTTATGGAAGGATACAGATCAAAAGGCAACTTATTACAGGCTAGTTCTTCCAGCATTAATATATTACACTTTTTATTGTAAACCAGTATAAAAACAGAAAAAATGCACCTTTTGTTTTGGTTTTTGTTTTAAATGCCATTTACAACCATCAACACTAGGAATTCTGCAAGGTACTATTTTATTTCCAATGCAGAATTGCGTCATGTAATTTTAATGTCTCAACTGGAACATGGAGAGCAAATCATCAGGATAACTGAAATATACAATTACCTGGCTTGAGCTGTTTTGATAATACTGGATTGTAATTAAAGTACCTCTAAGTATAGTTTGGTTAATTTTCAAGTCATAAATTCATTTTTCTGGAAATCATTCTCTTGCAGAGAAGATGATTTGTAATGGAAAAGGTATTTTGAGGTTGAGATCACTATAAATAAGGTTAATAATTTGAAAAATCATGGTTTTACTGTTGTTGACATGGTAAAGCTACTCCAAAGCTATTTGTGCATCCTTTCAGGTTCTATCTTACTAAATGCACTGATGAAACAGCCCATTGTCCCTGGGTCATTACTAGGACTCTGCCATCTCCTTAGCAGTAACTCTGAGCCTCTACCTGGAGCTGCATTGCAGCTCAACTATTTGGATACGTAAGTTTTACTTATTTTTGTTAAATTGCATGTGACATGTTCTTAGGATAGTGGCATTCTCTATACTGAGAAATGCTTATTCACAAAGGATAGCTCATTCCTTTTGTTACATGCTGTTTTGCTTGGACCATTCAATTTGGAACATCATGATCATCATATATACTAAACAGGGACAACACTTAAGTGATAAACTGGGTTAATTATGTAATTAATGGATCATTATATACATAATAATTATATACCAGGTGTCAAGGAGTAGGTTGGGTTTGTATTCTTTTCCCCAGTTTACATTTTCTTTTGGAAAGACATCTCTTGTTACTCTCTCGCCTTTCCATTATTTGATTCAGAATATGAGTAACTCAAATTCCAACTATGTTCTCTGCCTTTTCTTCTGAAGTCTTTCCCTTTTTTCAACTTTATTTGGATAGGAAGTCCACACACCTACCCAGTAGCAGGACAACTCAAGAAGAAATTGCTGGTCGTGGATCCTTGCAAGAAGCTCAAAACCTTGCTGTAACAGGATTGAACTTGATTGCTATGGATGGAGGATTATCTGAAGGAGGCCAAACAGAAAGCCAGACAGAGTTGCATGTCACACACTGCAAGATCCGAGGTGCTGTGCACCTCTTGCCCTTGGTAGAACACCATATTGGTGCATACTGTCAAGCAGTACAACTGGCAGACAAGCCAGTAAATGGTTCTTGTGGAAACCATTCAGCTGCTTCTTCCAGAGCCAACACAAATATGGTGTCAAGTAAGGAGGACTTCAGGTTGCCTCTTGAAGAAACTACAGTTATATCACTGGGTATTCTTTATTATTTGGCATTGTATAGCTGGGATGTAGTCCACTTGTTGCTATCTACTGAAGCGGAAGAAAGTGCTGCTGCTGGAGATGAACAGGTTTCCAAGATGGACAAAAAGGTGTTGCATGATAACCAGTGTGATGATAAAGAAGATACCAGGACACAAGGAGGGCTGCCTGTAGCTCCACAGGATGCTCCCAATAATGATCAACCTCAACATTCCTTATTTAAAAAGCTGCTTCAGGTTTTAGCTTTTTCTGCTGCAAAAGGCTCCCAGACTGACAGGATACTGAACCAAAGCCTAAAGGTTTTGGTGAAATTAGCTGAAAATGCAACAATGGACTTGCTAATAATGTAAGTCAGCAATAGGTTTACAATTATTTCAGACTGCTGTCTAGCAATTTTTATTCCCTGTTGAAACTAATTTGTACAGATGACAGCAGAAGTTTTGATATGTACAAGAGAATTTTCAGATCACCTTTGAGAAGCAGTTGAGGATCTTTCTACTGCCTTTGCTGCTAATGAATATGATAACATTACTCATGATCTGTAACAAGATTTGCTGATGACATTTATATGAAGCAGATCTGTTGCCTCATTGCATAGCCATCACCTGAAAGTCAGAAAACTTCTTAAGGCCATATGCAGTTGATCAGAGTATCTGTAACATTCATTTTGGGTTTTTCAAGATTGCTGGGAGACGCATAAGGAATGAAAGCACATGGTCTCATTCTGGTAGGTAAAATGCCACTCTCAAAAGTGAGACATTTAATTTGCTAATGGTCTGATATACACAACCATAGTATCAATTGCAGAATGACTGCCAAATGTAACTGAACATGGTTTTCAGTATACATTTTATGTATGACACACAAATTGGGATCAGGTATGTTTTGAATGACTGAAAAGGCACACATTCTGATGATGTGTACAAGAAATAGTGTCTTTTCAACCTGTCAGTGCATTTCCCATTTCTAACTCTTGTTTTCTTTTGAAGTTTTCAGCAGTTACTGAGTAGCCAGATACTGCTCCATTGTCTCTGTCCAGAGACCCCTTTGCCTGCTGTCCTTTTGACCGTGAGACTGTTGTCTATTCTTGCTCAACACCATACACTGATTGTTCAACTTTGTTCTCATTCAGGTAAAAGACTTCATTACACAGATAACTTACCAGGTGAACAGTAGTTAGCATGACTAAAAGCAGTGCAAACAGGCCTCGCTCCAAAGTGTTAAAAGCCCAAATAGTCTCCTATGTTACCTGAAAACTTTAGTGTTTCAGTTATTTTTTGAAGAGTATTATGTCTTGTAGTATATGTCTACATACAGTGCTTTTATACCCATGTCAATTTTTAAAACTACTTTCCAGATTAATATTTAATGTTGATGAGGGGGGGGAAAAAAGGCTTTTGAAGGAGTTTTGAAATTTATCTGCATGCATGATACCACCGAGTTTAGGGATTCCAGTACTCTTCATGACAAGTAGTTTTTGTCCAATTCCTTATGAATGAAGGTCTGTATTACCACAAACGCGTTTATAGAGTTTAGGGATACTGATTTCTTCAGCACCGCTTAAGATGTCTGAAGTTAAGCAAGAAGTTGAGCCTGTATCACAAGTCCCAGCATAGCACTTCATGTATTTTCTGAAATGTTGTCTTGTTTAGGATAAAATTTAGTTTTGTCACACAAAGTGTGACTAGTTACAAAGTTATCTCTGTTTTAGACACCTGCCTTCTTCTTGCCCTGTACATGTATATTACATCAAGACCAGATAAATCAGCATCTGAAATGCTTTGGCTTCAGCTGGAACAAGAGGTAACCAACCTCTGCTGCTTGTTCATATGCTTTTTCCTGCTGTCTCCAGCTGGGGGAGTGGGAGGAGCAGGGGAGTGCACAAATGGTCTGAAAACAAGTTCTTTCTCCAACTAAAATAGAACAGAAAGTACTGGCTTGCAGTAAGGGATTACACTGATTTGCAAGAGTAGCTGCTTGAAACTGAATCAGTAACTGGTCAAGAGAACATCAGTCATAACAGTTAAGTCACTGAAAGAGGAAGAAAGATCCTCAGATGGCTGTAAATATTCAACACTAAGCTTTATTTTGCTTTTAGATTGAGTAAAAGGAAGCAAGATCTATAATTCATTTTGACTTGATTAATTCTAAACTGTATCTTATGAGTTACTACATAGAAAAGGCAGTCTTAGCAATTTAGGATTATATTAATTGTATTCAGTGGAAATACTGGCTTTTTTATATATAGAAAGAATAGCTTTTAAACTTGTACTGTTTGTTCTGGCAGTGGTGACTTCTTTGAGGTTCTACTACTTGTTCTGCTCCTGCTCTCATTTGAAAGAATTTTCAACCATTTTCATTATACCCCTACCTACATTGTTATATTCAGTGTAAACATTATTTGTATGAAGTAAATTAAGGCCCAGTGCACCTCACTAGCCTTCCTCATCAGGAAATTGAAAGAAGTTTCTGTGCAGAGGAAATTCTATGTTTTTTAAAGTTTTACAGGGAAAAAATTTGAACATTTTTTGGGGGGGGGATACAGATCAACTGTTAAGAAAAAACAAGAATGTGTGAAGTTAATAATGAAATGTCATGTCTACGTACCTTTATTTGCAGTCTTGTTTGCTAATTCTGCAGAACTCCAGTACTCATTATAATGCACTCTGTATGTTTTTGTAACAGACAGTTAGACTCCTGACAAGGTTTATGCGGAGTTCCAGTCCAGCAGTTTTATTACCTGGTACAGAGTGCCAGTGTAATCTTGAGGTATGTCACTACAATGGCTGAGTTTACTGAGAACTTTTAAGGTACTCAATGCTAAAACAGCTTTTTGTCCATTTTTTTTAGCTAAAATGAAAGAGAAATGTACTGTACTTTAAAGGAGGCCACCTTCTAGGACCCTTGCTTTTGCCTGCTAGACAGTATTTTGAAATTTGGAAGTTTAATTAGTAAAGTTCATAATGAATTAAGCTTTCAGCTACTATAACTTTATTGAGGCACTTCTCTTGCAGGTGGTTAAGGCACTAATTATAATGTTACACAGACAGTGGATGAAGATTAGAAGATCTGAGAACAGCTTGTGTGCACATAAGGAACAAATTATTCAGTTTTTACGGGATGCTCTTTTACTCTTGCACAGCCTATCTCAGAAAGATAAACTGTTTCATGAACACTGTTTGGAAGTTCTCCATCAATATGACCAAGCCATGCCGGGCATAAGAGCAATTCTCAGAAAGACTCAAAAGTTGAGTGCTTGTGAAGGTAAAACAACCTAAGTGGTAATCTGGCTTTTTTACATGCTTCAGAAATAGAAATTCCGCTTCTGTCCCTTTCCTCATTTAACAAGTACAACCTACCAAATACCATGGATGTTTGTTGCTCAGACCTTTGATTCATAGTCTAGTGCTTCTCAATCTTCATTATACTGAATCACTACTGCACTATTCTTTAATAGTTTTCTTGTTCTTCTCTCCATAGAGATATGCCCCTACTATCTGATCCAACAAAATCCCATACTCCAACTCTTTTTAGTAAAGCAATCTGCACTATATATTACCTTACTAAAAAAAAAAAAAAAGTCATTATTTCAAGTCTCCAAATAGCATTACACCTTCTCCCTGCAACTGTATTGTTTCCCCACCACTCCACTCATCCTTAACATCTTTCTTCCTTTTCTCTCTTCTACCCACAACATTCCTCCACTACTCGGAAATCTTCTCTAGCCCATGTCCATCAGGACTTGCCCCTTGCTTTGCACTGTTCTGGTGTCCATTTCCTAGACAGAGCTACTCCTGTGAAATTGCCTCTTCTCCCTGTACCTCAGTTCCCTTTCTTTGTTCACTCATGGCATTATTTACATGTATGTTGTAGAGCTGATGAGAAGTTTGTGCTCTTTCATCAGTAGATGGGTTTGCTACAAGATACCAGATAAGGTATCTGGTCTTGTTAAGAGCCAGAGTGATAAATCCTTCATTGTCAGTGTACGTATTGCATAAGTAAGGCAGGTGATGCAAGCATGCCACTATTAGTTACAGTGATCTCTCTGGAGATGCCAAAGAGTATGCCAAGTATGGGCTCTACTCTGATTGCTTAGAGTATTCCAAGGTTTTCTAGAACTTTGCCAAACACCTTGTCTGGTTATGCTTGGGAAGGATCCAAAATGGCATAACAGCTTGGGAATTTGGGGAGGGTGATGCAGTCATATGCCTACAACCCTGTAGTCTGCATTTGGGTTCTTCCTTTCAAACATAAAATACCATGCTTTTGTCCTAGTGACTTAAAAAAAAAAAAATCAGTGAACAAAAATTAGTTTTAAACTTAGTTGCAAAATAATAATGTACTATTTACTGATTTTCCACTAATAGATAAATTTAATGACTGCCCAAGATAGTTCTCTCCTTTAACGCCTGAAAAGGCATTAAAGAGGGGGGAAGTTTGTATGACAAAATGCATATGAAGACCTGTTTTGCATGAAACCTTGATAAAGGTTTGCTGTAGCCTTCTACAGTCAGTATGTTTTAAAATGCAAACAGATACCAGATGTAATTACACTGTATAAAGTAGGTAAATGACTCTGAAACATGATTTGTTGTTCTTGCAGAGCTGATTTTGGATGAATTGTATCCTCCTGAGCCAGAAGCAGAAGAGCAAGGAATGGATTCCAGATAGCTAACATCTAGCAAAGATCTCTGTCCTTCCTCATCTAAATCATAATCATTGCTACTGTAAATCTGAAAATCCAGTCATCTGTTTTATTAAGAGATAATCTAAAGGCTGCACTCAAATGCAGCACAACTAAGGCATTTCTTTGTTGTGATTATTTAAGTGCCATCTAAACCTAGCTGAATGCTCTAAGAATTATACTGCAATGTACTGTTTTGCTGTACAAACCCACTCAGTGGCTTATGACCAGTTCTATTTATGAAAGTATTTTGAACACGCTTGTTTATTTGTAGCTGTAGCACTTTCTTGCTTGACTTCCAGGTTTTTCATGTTGATATTAGTAAACAGTTTACTGTGATTTTAAAAACCTTTCTACAAATAACTTCTAGTTGGCAGCTCAGTTCTGAGCAAGAAATTCAAAGCCTTGTAGTGATCATCTGAGTTCATAATTTCTCAATTTCATGGAGCTACTGAAAGAAGAACTATTGGTCAGATGCCCAAACAAAAAATAATAGAATTTGCTGTTTTAAAAACCTACCTGTCCTGGTGGAAGAGAAAGACGGTAATGCTGAGGAAGGCGTTCTGTCTTACTCGGCAAGAGAAAGATGTCCAGAATGATCGGGGTTTTTGGTTGTAGTATCTGGATAGGCACCACAGCGAAGATGAAGGAGCATCACACTGACTGGAATACAGCACTGAAGATGGGAGGAAGAACTGTTGCTATACCCTTTCAAGGGCCAGAGCTCCTAGGTATAAAACTTCACTCCTTCCTCCCACAACACAGCCTAGGGCTAAGCCTCCTTCCCTTTGAGCAACAGCTCGCAGAGCTCCCCCAGGCATATCGTACTTGTTTCTGTACAGCACAAACTGCCAACTACTTCTCAGGAACAGGTTTCAAGTCCCTTGTAGCAGCCTGGAGAACTGCCATTTTCCTGCTTAACTGCAGCCAGGATGGATGTTCAGGCACATAACAGCAAAGCCTTCTAAGTTTGTGTGCTTGCATGGGAATAACCCTAGAAGTGCCACCAGGGCACTGGACAAGACATGCTACAGAAGTTTCAGTGTGACATAAACCCATTTGCCTTGTTCACTTTTTAAAAAAACACACACATCATTCCGCCCCCAAAAAACCCAACCAAAACCCACAGCATTTCCTGGACTTCAGGATTAGACAGAAGAGCTTGAGAATGTCAGGTAAAAGCCCCTTCCTTCCGGAAACCCAAAATGAAGGTAATTCTTTAAAAATAGCCCTATGAACACAAGCAGGGGTAAAGCAGATCTGGCAGCCTGCTGTTAGTGGCAAACTTAAAACGTATAGTTACTATATCCCAAAATTCAGTGATTTGCCATCACCTTTCAGCTGTTCTATGCTTTTCTCACCATCTAATTTCTCTGTACATAATTTGAGTTTATGGTGATAACATGCATTTAAACCTGTTTATTGGGTGAGTAGACCAAGTGAATTTGGACAAAAACCAGCTGAGGAATCCCAAAGTGTTGAAGCAATCCAGTTATAAAAACTTGGTTTCAGAAATTCCCAACCTCATCTAAAGGGCGTGTATATTGCAGCTCGGTAAAAGGGAGAAGTGTATTACTGCTAAGCTTCATACAGACAGAAGTGTTACATGTGGAAAAAAATGCTAGGAAAATACCCCTAGCTTTTCCCTTCTGACACTGCATCCCCTCCCATCCACCCACTCTTAACAGACAACACCCTAACCAGTACATCTACACTTACCTTATTTCCACTTTTGACTTCAAAGTGGTATAGCCTAGGCTATATACAACCACTATACACAACACTATATACAAACACACAAATCCCTACACTGTCACCAGTAGAAATTATAACAACATCATAGTACAAAATTAAACCATAGCTTTTAAAAATCAAGGCATTTTCTGTAACTGAAAAGTTCATGCTCTTAAGGAAAAACTAGGCTGCACTCCTCAAGAGAATGGGCAGACAGGTATGCATACAGAGCTGCCATAATTCATTATTTGTAAAGCCATTTACAGAGACCAATCTTTTGTCAGGATTATTGCAAGATTATACTGACCTTCAGTAATTCTTCCCTTTTTACATTCTCTTTCAACTTTTTCTTGGCATTAAAGAGACCCGATAGCATGTGCAACAGTTGATCATCCCCTGAAAAACCCAAAGCATTTTTACAGATTATGGGACTACTGGTTTGCTATCTTCATGACCTAAAAACAACAGAACTCGGACTGTTCTTATCAGACACTCCTTGAACAATCCACGGCATAGTAGCTCTTTTTTTCAAGGCCAGTAAGCATTTTCCCAACATGTTACAGGTAAGCTGTGCCTCTCTTAACTGAGGAATTTACTCGGGCATCAAGCACAGCTACAGGGCTGAATAATGAAGTATTGAGCAACAACACAAGTCGTGTTCTATGCATGATTATCACATTCCTCAGTCAGTAGCAGCCACCTATTTTCTTGCCCATGGGGATGGCAACTCCAGCTCCCACTCTGCTAAGCACTTTCCTCCTCCAGGAAATGAGGAGACGGGACTAAAGCCAGGCAGAAGCTGGATGAAGAAAGCAGTCACCATTTCTCAGGCAACTTTATGCAAAAAGGAGGACAACAGCCTTCCTGACATGTATTTTAACACCTACAGACAGTAGCCCTTGACCAGTTGTAGCACAGGAAAAGGTATCTGTGTTGCTAAGCATCTTCCCGTGGTGATCCAAGAACCTGAGGTACTGCATGGATTCAAACACACAGCAGTTTATTTCTACTAAAACTAGATACAGAATACAGTAAATGATGCATCATGGACTAAAATATTTAGGGAATTTGCACCTTATTAAGGCGTTACCTTAATAAGGTAACACCTTATTTTCTACAACTCATAGAATCATTGAAAAGTAGAGATTGTAAGGGGCCTCTGTAGATCATCTAGTCCACCCCTCAGTCAAAGCAGACTTTCAGAGAAAACTGGTTTGTGTCAGGTCAGGCCTCAAAATACCTTTTTATAAACCAAGGTGTAATAAGACAAATACAAAATACCTCATCATGCAGCATGCAACGTCTGACCAGAATTGGGTTTATTCACATTAATCCCACTCGTGTGAACTACTGCTTAAGAAAGTTTAGCCTGTGCTAGACTATTAAAACAGCAAGTTATTTTAACTACTGAATAATGTGTATATAGTATCTTAAAGTGGAAGACTAATGAGTCAGGGGCATGAATGCAATCTTTCATAAGAATTTTTTTCAGAACTATTGAAAATTCAATTAGGCTTCAGTCTCCACTAGCAAAAGTGATATTCATGATATAAGGTTACTGAAAGTATACTTGGTAACACTAGCTGTCAAACACAATGAAGTGTAGCTTTGCAGACACACTCCTAAATAATACTCAAATTGAGGCTAAAAAACCAGAATTGATAGAATATACTTAAAAGACTGCATTTATTACAAAGGCATATAGAGTTTATGCCATTACTTTTGAATACTTACTTTTAAACTACAAACAAAATACAAAGCTAGGTTACAGTATGTAACAGAATCAACAGTGATTATCTAGTAAATTCAGTACAACATAATTACTGTATTTAATTTCACAAAGCAGTTCTGAAACAAAGGCACTTAAAGAATTAACCCCCCCAAAGAAAAACAAAAATAAAAAAACAACACAACACATACACAAAACCCCCACATATACTCTTTCATAGAACATCTTAATTCCGTTCCCCCTCCTCTATGGCACTGTGGATAACTAGTCTGACATGAAAGCAATAGCTACATGGACTGATACATCAGTAGTGCTTAAACTAAAAGTTTATGGATCAACTTCTCCATCTTTTCTATAACCATCTTATTCTCTTAACTGTATGAAAACAAGTTTAAACAGGATGCATGGCAACAACTACATAAAATTTGGGTTTATCCCTTATTGTTAATGATGATTAATACACTAACAGTAAGGAAAGAACTGACAAAGTGCTCCAATTATGAGTTAAGTGGACTATTTTCTCTTATTTCAACAAATTTTGTAACTAGTAGTTCCTTGTATATTAACAATTCATCTCTTCACCTGCATGTAGTTTTCATTAGCATGTGTTCACTAAAGGTGTAAATTTTCAGGCTCCTTCACCTCATCCCCTCCCACCACTCCACATACAGTGGTGCTCAAAGCGATTGATTTGGTCTGTACAACATGTACACCAAAACTTTAGATTCAGGGACCTCTATTACTGTTGCCACTTTACTTTCCTCCTCTCTCTTTCTTAGGGATGGTGGCAGATGGCTGAGCCAATTTCTCATGACATTGCAGATTTTTTTTCATAACGAAAAAAGAACCTTATTTACACTGCCACGAACTGCATGCTTTTCACATCATCTGGAGGAAAGGAAGAGCAGTGTGGAGTAACCATCTCATGAAGCCAAACACTAGAACATTGTACCTGTGCTCCAAGAGCTACGTGGCAGCTGTGCTCTCTGGCCAAACTTCATCCAGGCAGCTGGCTAACAAAGGTGCTGGAATGGTCTCTGCCCTCCTTCTATAGGAATAGACACACAGGGGTATGATCTAGCAAGGGAATTCTTTCTGCAGTTATTCAGTGCCCTCCCACACATAAAAATTCCAGATTTCTAGGGAAACTCTTAATCCCCCATATAGGAGACACTGTGCATTTCTGCTTCTCACATAACTTCAAACAGTGTACTGAAGCATCACCCAGTTTCTCATGAGGGAAGAAAGAGGAGGAACACACTGATAAAGGGCATGCATGCTCTGCAAGTGCCTCCTGGCACCATTTCAAGCTATTAACTTCAACACTCTCAGAGAGGTTTAACAGGGGACACAGGCTTTCAAGAATCCCAATGCTAAAAGCTTTCTACAAGTTTCTTCTGAAATGCCCTGAAGACTTTCTAGAAAAACAGAACTGGAATAACCCAGAAACAGACTTCAAAAATCAGGAAGAGAAATAACGCTGCTTTTGACTGCAGCAGTTTTCATTCATCGTATGAGGTAAAGCAACACCACCATTGATGATTTTCAAGCAGTAATATACCCAAAATGCAGAACCACAGGACAAATGGCTCAACAGCCTCTAAAAAAATAAAAGTCAGTGTCTGAGATAGATCAAAGTTATTTTACTAATTATGTCACAGGGATACATACAACGGGCCAGACAGCTCTACTGAGGAATAACAACTTGTGTTCCAATGTTAGAAAAGATAAAATTGTAGAGGACACTAAAAAGAAATTATGATTCATTTGATCAATACAAGGTGCATAGAACCAAAAGCCTTGCAACCACTAGTAATAGTCATAAGGATGCCTCAAGACATTTCATAACTGCAAGCACCACCTTCTTGAAAATGTTAACCTCGCTGTGGCAAGGTCCCACCACTCTTCCATTTCCTTGAGTTCTTATTTTCTGCTCAGCTTTATGAGAATGGTGAAGTCAAAATGGAGGTTTAATTTCTACTGTGTGCTGGACTGGGATTTCTTACCCTCCTTTCCCATTATTATTCAAATGCAGATCTGTCATTCTGAGGTTCCTGCCATCTGCAGTTCCCACTAGAGACAGTCAGTGACAAGCCCCAAGCATTTAAAAACACCTGTAAAATAAATTCCTCCGTTACGATGAGGCAGTACTAAACACTGGCAGGTACTTCTGTTTAGCATATTATTAAGGAGCTAATTTGTCTTCCAAACTCATCAACAACAGATGACAAGTAACCTTGTCCAATAATACTTTGACATCCAACAAATACTCATCCAGTAATTTTAATGAAGAAGTCTCAGGTTGTCAGCTTTTGATCTACTTTTTCTACTAAGTGGCAGGTAGTTTGGTTTTGTTGTTAATTTCTAGCACTAAATTAAAATGGCCTGAGAAAAACACCCAGTGAAGGCACAGTTTTTAAGCCTTAAAATTCAGAAAGAAAACAAGGAAATCATCAACTCATGCTATTTAGCACAGTAAAATGAAACTAGGCCACAGAATTACAGGTGGTTTGCTATGGGTTACAGAAGGAAATTGTGTTTCAAAAGAGGAACACTCCCTTTTGAATGGGAAAAGTATTACATGGTATCTTACCTAACAACAATAGCTTCAAAACAGGCAGGACATATGTAACAGATATCAGGTAGATTCTCAAGAGATTAAGTTTTTATGTTTTAATACCGTGCAAAAGTGCTTCAGCTTTGGGGTTTGATAATGCTCGTATTAGACCACTCCTTTCAAAAGTATTGCACAGCAAATGTTATCATGGTTCTTATTTCTGAAGTTCTCTTCCTTCACGCTTTCCCCATTGTATACAGAACAAAATCTCTTTTTGTGTTTGAGGTATAAAATAACAACTTCTGCAAGAGAAATAATACTGCCTCATACTTGAAGCATTTAAAAAAAAGATACAGAATTAACATTCACTTTACTGAGACAAAGGATTGCTGTCTTCCAGGAAAACATACGACAGTTGCACGGTGTAAACAGCACGAATTATACTTTTAAGAGTTTTGTATGCAGAAGAGAGTAGATGACCTTCTCAATAGGTGAGCTTCTGAGGATCCACATAAGCAGGGTTGTAAGGGGGCTGGCTGACTGGGTAAGGTGCTCCAGCACCAGCTGCAAAAGCACAACACAAGAGAAAACGGATTTGTAAAACTTAACGTTCTGAATTCTACATCTATAACTTCTGTTATTCTGCAACTTCTGTTTTAAGCACACGGTTAAGAGGATCAACTTATCTAGCATCTTAACTAGACGAGAACAGTTTGTGCTAACTCATAAAGCATCCATATTTCAAAAGTAAGGTCACAAAAACCTTTACTCCTGTGGTCTGGTTTAGGTTTTGTTTGTATGCCTAAGTGGAAATGTGTATTATGGCATCCACTAGTACATGGTTAGCCTTCAGGGGAGAACATAGTCTGAAAAACAAAGAAACAGATTTGGTCCAAAAAAGGAAGCCAGTGCAAATCATAGATGCACAAACAACAGGACGTACCCAATAGAAGCGAAAATAAACCACTGGGCAAAAGAAAAATGACCAGAGGAAGCATCTTAGGATTCTTTCAGGGAAAATGCTTTCCCACTAAGTGTCACAGAGTTAATTAAAAAAAAAAAGGGGGGAGTGGGGTGGTGAAGTATACCATTGCTACCAAGCGCATTAAAGAGTTTGACTTGACTTACATACTAGCATGTATATAACTCAGAAGCTGTCTCTATTTTACAGTATTCTGGGACAAGCAGCTCTCAAGTGGCATCTTCATTTTCAGGTCTCTCAAAGAGCACATTAGTTCAAGTAACACACCACCTGATCAGATCCCTGGAACGCGTAAGCGTGGGTATCTTTTGCTGATCTTGTAAAGTGAGTGAGGTTGCTCCTGTGTGACAGAGCGGGTATTTTCTCCTTTGCATATGACCTAATTAAGAGGCTGACCCTTGGTTAACAGACAAGAGAAATAAACGAAAGAGCTCTCACTTTGAGGCGTTCTCACCCGGCAACATGGAAAGCACTTCAAGATTTTCCCAGAAAATAAGTATTTTAATAACTAACAAACCAGTAACAGTTTGAGAAACCAGAGCAGGAGAAGCAA